GACCAAGCAGCTGGCTTATAAAAATGCCAATCTGGTTTGCCAGACTGCTATTTGCCCTTATCGTAAGAAAGGGACACTTTCTATATCCATCTCTGTGCGGATACTGGGCCCTCATACATGCAGAGGGTAGCTTTGGCCGTTGCTCTGCAAAATATAATGCCCTCTCAATAATTTAGAGAGCAAGGAAAAAAGGATCCAAAGCATAGATCCAAAAACATGTTTTAAATGCGGAAAAGGTCATTTTGCAAAGCAATGTCCTAATCAAGCTTCCACTCCTGATAACTTCCCTTCCACACTTGCTCCAAATATCTGCCCAAGATGTCCGAGGGGACACCACTGGGTTAATGAATGCCATTACAAAACCATGGTAGACGGTTGGCCTCTTCCCCAGCAGGGAAACGGGAAATGGGGCCTAGCCTGGCCTCGTCAAACAATGGCTGCCATGTCCATCTATCCTCCCCAAATTCGGGAGTTGGCTTCTGAAAAACCATCACCGACCTCTCCCGAGCAACCAGAGAAAGTAGAGGATTGGATGTCAGCCCCACAGCTCAGTTTGTGTTAACCCCTACTATGGGGCCACAAGCTATCCCTACTGGTATATTTGGCCCTTTACCTTCAGGCAGCGTAGGGATGATCTTGGGATAGAGCACCCTTACTTTAAAAGGTCGTAAGGTGTTTCCTGGAGTCATTGACTCTGATTATACTGGAGAGATACAAGTTACGGCTGGTGCAGGGGAAGGAATCATCACTGTCTTTCCTGACATGAAAATAGCTCAACTAGTATTGGTCCTTCTTTTAATTACAAGTAAAGTTCTTCAAAATACCCCCTGGGGACAGCAAAGATTTGGATCATCTGATGAAGCCTATTGGGCACAACAAATAGGAAAAGGATGCCCAGAATTAGTGTTACCTGTTCAGGGAAAACTCTTTAAGGGGTTATTAGATATGGGAGCTGGCATTTCTGTCATGTCCTGAACATGTTGGCCTGCTTCTTGGCCTTTGCAACCAGCCATGACTGAGCTCCAAGGGATCAGTGAGTCAAGTACACTTGGCAGAGTAGCTTTCCTCCCTTGGACTGACAATGAAGGCCATTCTGGGACTTTTTGTCCCTATGTGCTTTCTTCTATAACTATTAATTTGTGGGGAAGTGATGTCTTGCAGCAAATGGGAGCTTTACTATTGAGTCCCAATGAAATTTTGCACTGTTCCTCTGTGCCTTTATAATGGGGGTCCTGATAATCTCCTGCCACCACTGATCCAATTTCGTGGATCTCAGATACACCCGTATGGGTGGATCAGTGGCCCCTTACTCAGGAGAAATTGCTTGCTTGTCAAAATCTGGTTCAAGATCAACTTCAAAAGGGCCATATTGAGCCCCCTAATAGTCCTTGGAATACCCATATTTTTGTCATATGAAAAAATCTGGCTCATGGAGACTTTTCCAAGACCTCCGAGCCATTAATGTAGTTATGAAATGCACAGGGATTTTACAGCCTGGCCTTCGATCTCCTATAGCCATCCCAGCTTCATTTTATTTAATAGTCCTAGACCTGCAGGACTGTTTCTTTTCCATCCCCTTGTCTCCTTCAGATTGTGAATGGTTCACTTTTAGCATACCCTCTTTTAATTTTCAAGCCCCCATGAAAAGATATCAATGGACGGTATTGCCACAAGGTATGGCTAATAGTCCTACATTATGTCAAATATATATTTCTAAAGTTCTTGAGCCTTTAGTGATGCCAATATTCTCAGGAATATATCATCCATTATATGGACGACATTCTAATTGCCCATGAAAAACAACAGCATTTACTTTCAATATTTGATTCCCTTTCCAAGGGATTAGCTAGTTATGGTTTGGTTCTATCTCCAGAAAAAATTCAAATGCAATACCCCTTTTCCTATTTGGGTCATATCATAGAAAATAAGACCATCTGCCCACAAAAAGTTCAAATCAGGCATGATTCTTTGAAGACACTTAATGATTCCAAAAAATTACTGGGATACATTAACTGGCTTTGCCCTTCCTTCCGACTTACAACTGTGGATCTTCAACCTTTATTTGACATCTTAAAGGGTGACTCATCATCTAGTTCTCCCAGAAGTTTGATTCCTGCAGCAATCCATGCATTGCAAAAAGTAGAACAAGCCA